AGTAAAATATTAAAAAAAAAAACAGAAGGAAAATTGAACGACCTAATGAAAGAGCGAAATGTGAGCGTAGGTAATAAGTATTTTTATCAACATAAAACGAAATTTTAAATTTAAATATTATTTTTTATATTTTATATTTTATATTTTATATTTTATATTTTATATTTTATATTTTATATTTTATATTTTATATTTTATATTTTATATTTTATATTTTATATTTATTTTTATATTTTATACTTTATATTTTATATTTTATATTTTGTATTTTATACTTTTTATTGATAAATACTCTGTATAAAAATTATTGAAATACTTTCGCATTATTCAATCAAGAAAAATTACGAATGTCTTGTTTCAGTCAACTTTTTGGTATATTTTCATGACGTTTTTCTTTGCAATTTTTCTTAACTTTTGTAAAGTTCATTTATGGCAAACCATTTTTTCGAAGCAAACAACTTGAAATGCGTGCCATTGGTTTTAGAAGAACTTTTAGTTTTCCTTAATGTTTCTTAGCATTGTCATATATTCATACATTTCATGCACTCTCACATAAACACATATCTTTATTTTCGTCTGGATAAAAATAAATGCTCTGCTTGGTCTGCCTATAAAAAGTTTGTTGTTTGTCTTTTTATATCTGCAAATCAGTGAACCTTATTCACTTAGCCAAAAAGCAAAAATATTTGAAAACTTGTGTAACTTTAATCTCAAGAAAGTATTCAATGGCTTAACAGTCAAATGCCAGACTTGAATCGTTTCATATAATGTCAAGAAGTTAAAGTTTTCTTTCAAATTAAATGCGGTAAATATTTGCAAAGGCTTTTATTGCATATTTATAGCATGTTATGAAGCAAAAAATAAATTATAAAGTTTTGGAAGTCTCCGAAATTAGTATTTTTAATCAAAAAAATCTATAAATACACATACAGGTTTTCCTCCCCGGAACTTTTCCTTCCACCACAGGCAAATTAATTACTTAAAAAGCTTCATCAAAGCACACGTGTTTCATTATAGATGGATTTATTTGGTTGTATGGCTGGCTGCTTGCATTCTTCAATTATTTATATTGTTCTATATAAAAATCAAAGCTTCTTGCTTGCGTCTCGCTACCTTAAGTAATCCTGTTTTAAGAAGAAATTTTTGTATATTATATAATATTTGAAAAATAAAACTTTGTTTTTACTTGTTGAATTTAGAGGTTAGATATAAATAGATTTTTGTGAAATATTTTTGCTTTATATATTATGTGTGTTTGCAAAATGTTTTCTACATACATATTTATATGCAATGTCATGCATAAAAGTTATGGACGTTGTGCATTGTTTATGCATTAGTAGTTGTTGCCCAGCAGGAAAATGTATGGAGTAGTACGAAATTGAGCACCACAAGAGTAATGACTTGTTCACAAATTTCATGCTGTATACGAGTAATAATATTTCTTTTATTTATAGCAAATTTCGTCTTTTTGACGTTGTTTTTTCTGAAGCTTCTTATTAGCAAAAGCTGCTGTAAGCGAGCTGTTTATTATAGTCCTTCAATTCTAATCCATCATACATACGAGTATGCTGAGAACAAAATTTCAAGCTTTGAGTAGATTTATGTTGCAGTTTGAGTTGAATTGTCACTAAAACTGAGAGTTTGAGCACAAGCAGGCGAACAGACGGGTAAGGCGGTTTCAGCTCAACTCGTAATTCTGATGATATCGGTATAAATTTTGATGGGTCTGCAACTTTTCACTCTGGTACCTACTAACTTCGTACAAAAGTTAATGTATCATTTTATGTTCAATATGTTACTTATACGCCAAGGCAATCGGTTCATTGTCATTTTTACGCCATTTAAACGAACTTTTATTTTCCCAATTTTTTAACTACATTAAATATGTGCTGCCCGTTGAGTTTTCGAGAATCTATTTTCGTTGATTATACAACGATAATCGATGTTTATTGGATATATGAAAGTAGTTTTCGAAATTAGGTAAACATATTTAAATTTAGTAAAATTTTTTATACACCAATATTGAAATCTGTTAAAGTAAATTTGAATGAATTATTTTTTGGCTGATTTGTTTTTTTTTTTTTATTATTTTTTCACTATTTTGTGAAGTTTATAAATGGTTTTGGCTTATTATTTAATTCTATTTTTCTTCTGTTGGATCTTTAGTTTTTGAATTACTTTTAGATTCTACTCATGCTCAAAGTTTTGTCTTCGGAAATTTTCATTCTCTTAATTATAAAAAGTAAATACATCTTCTAAAACACTTCATAGAAAATTTGTATATATTTCAGGTACAGCATAAAATTACACCATATGTAAAATTTCACGCAAATTGAAGCACATTGCGCAGCAGTCTTTCATATTTTATTTGGAATGGCTGCATATGTGATGACTTTGTCATGGCGTATGAGTAACCTAAATATTAAATTATGCTTACTAAGTTGGAAGTAATACAAGTTTTGTTTTTATGCTTTCATTTTAGCATATTATATAATTTCTCCTTTGTACAAGCACTTAGGCTATAGCGTGGCATCTATAAATTAGCTTCAGAGTTTCTGGAAGGGATAAGGAGGTTACTTCGGTGTCACCGCTTCAAAACTCGATTCCTTTTAATTGTCCTACTAATTTCTGTAACATTTAGACAATATTATTCCAAATTTTCAAGCTGATATGACTTCGAAGATACAGGTTTGGAAGACAGGCAGGCGTAGCATTCCAAATTAACTTTTCAAAGACGGCAGTCAGAAGCACCCGAAAACTACTCAACCGATCTTGATGAAAAGTTACAGGCCTGTTTTTCAATCATTAATTTTTGGCTTATGATATAAACTTAGAGACGATCTTTTCACCACGGATGATCTTGTCATGAGTTATACTGTCAACACAAGTGCATATTTTTTACGAGCGGTCACGGGAAATGACGCTAGAATGGCGAAATGATGAATATTTTCCTTTGAAACTTTCAGAAATTCATTTCCAGGTATATATGTTCAAGACAAATTATAAATTTGAATAATTATTTAATTTTGTGAAAATAAAAATAATTATTGAAATACAGATTTTTTCGCCCAGAAAACCTTCACAACACCTTAAGCAAAGGAAAAGATCATCGCTCCTATTAAAGATTTCATGCAATTTTTCTCCTCATTTTGGCTATTCATATATAATAATATGGGAAATGGTTATGGAGTCTTCAAAAATTTTTTATGATAAGTATATTTGAGTAGTAAACCTATTGTGAAGATGATCTCGCAACAGTGGTTTAACAATGTTCACATAACTATGATACCGCATAGGTACTGAATTCTCTCCATTGTCACGACAATCTTATATAAAGCTGAGAACGTCTGTTTAAAAAAAATTTATAAATTGAATTAAATATTAAAAATAAATATTTAGTGGCATCATAAGCTGTGTCTATATTAAATTTATTGTTTTGAGGTAAGCTTTGAAGTCACTCTTTACCGACTAATTGCGATCCAGTAGAATTTTTTAGAGCAATAAGTGGTGATTGGCGGCCGCTATAGCCGTGTGGTTAGTATTGCGCACTGTCATTCGGAAGGCACGTGTTTAAATCACCGTATGATCAACATCCAAGAGTTATAGAAAATTAATTTAAATTAAATATTAAGCTAAATTTTTTAATTGCGGAGGCGGCTTAGTATAAGCTGTAGGTCCGTCCATTTGTTGGATAAACATCAAGATGCAAAACCACAAATTGGAGGCGGAGCTCGGCCGCAGATCCTTCAGCGGTGACAAAGCGCCAATTATATATATAAGGTAGGTAGTATACTCCGTCTAAAGTGTGATCATGTAGAGACAATAGCCAAGCAAACAACAGTGGCAAATACTATTTTGGTCTCCTCATTAAAATTGTATAATTATTTAGTTTCAATCACAATTAATTTTTTATGTTACCCACATATTAATTTTCGATATTATATACGTTCCTTTGATTGAATAAATTAAGGGGTGACTTTATAACTGTAGTATTTAAAGAAATTACGTTATATTACGTTAAGTACCCAAGAAATTCCGTCAGTGGCAAGTTCAAAGTTTCTCATCCTTTGGGAATGTTATTCAGAACTTTCTTGGAAACCATCAGAAAACAGAAAATTTTAAGAAATGCTTGCAGAGTATTGTTTTAAACTGAGGAGGGTTCTACCAAAAACCAAATATTTACCGCAATTCTAAGTACTTATTATAAACTAAGTATTGAAAATTTACCTGACATGAGTTTAGAACATCTGATTCCCTCGTACAATTCCTGGAAGTCTTCTTTTGGTTATTACAAACAACCGAACAATTTCTAAACAAAATATAAAACCCGAATTTCACCTTCACTAAAATTAATAAAGTCTCACATTTATGTTTAATTGTAATGCATATAAAGGGCAGAAATTGATTAGCTAGAATTTTTAATATAAAATTTTAATGATTTCGGTTTTCAAAGAAAAAAATTAATGGGATGAACTCCAATTGTTTGCTTAAAAATACTATTGAATATAATTTCGATCTGTCAGATAGTTTCAATAACATGGGAGACGACGCGATGGATATTTAGTTATTTATAAATTAGTATTGGTCCGTTGAGCATTATTAGAGGTGCTCCGAAGAAAGAGGTTTTTGAGATCACTAGCGAATTTAAAAAATTTATTTATTTTATATTCACCCAATATTTATTTAGTAACACATACTAATTTGACTATTTTTTATTTTTATTTTACCGAAATAGATTTTAAATACACACTCTTCTTGTCAATACTTTGGTTTTCTTTCCCCTAATTAAGTAACTCATACGCCATGTCAACCGGATGAATTAATTAAAGCCGTTTAATATATATAAATTCTGCTGAATTTCATTATAATTCTAATTGTATTTTATTTTACATTAAAATTTAATTATTTAACAAGCATTATGTTCACACACAAAGTTTTCACGAAATATTTCCCTAAATAGATTGGCATACTAAAATTGAAATTAAAGCCAAAACACGTACGTTTTACTTAATGTGTGTATCGGTTGCACCTGCTGATGCTGTTGCTGTCTTCCCTTAAAGACGCTGTCGGTTTGTGTTGTTGTTGTTGTTGCTGACTTGGATTTTATTATTATTTATTATCGTTGTAGATTCATCGTTGCTGACACTGATTGTGACGAAGATGTTGGTTTAATATATATGTATGTACATATATCCTTCGTTTTCAATTTAAATACACGTTAAGCAAAGGTTGTTGAGGAGTCGCTGCCATTCAAGCGTAACTTCAATAAATACACACACACACATATACATGTACGCGCGCGCAATCACAATTAATTGGTATTTTAAGAGGTTTTCGGAACTCTTTTTTTTTTGAGTGTAGGTACAACGAGTGGCACACAATATTTTTTTATTATATACATATATATAGTATACAAACATACATATATAATATGTATTTGCATGTATGAATAACGGGGAAAAATTATTTGAATAATATTATAAAATTTTAATTTCACCTTAAAAGCGCACGAAAGTACACTTCAATAAAAGAGAACATATTTTTTGCTTATTTTTTCATTTTCTACTTAACTTTTTACAACAAAAAAATTCAATTCAAATATTTATTTATTCATTTTCACTTTCCCCACACACTCTATTTAATAAATTATTTAACAGCAAGCGCGCTACTTTTCGGTCTTTATCCATTTTGACCAAATTGGTCGAGTTCTCCGCCGCAACTGGTATTGCATGCTTGAGATTTGCCTTTTATATGCCAACAAACATTTAACAGAATCAGCACAGCTGTTATGTTATCTTCGCAACATCCTTTGCCGAGATGCTGCACTGTTGCTTTCGTTGGACATCGTCGGCGGCGCATGCGTACACTGCGATTTTGGAATTTCATTCATAAATTCATAGAAACTGTTTTTGATGCTATTTATGTTGTTATTGTTTTGTTGTAGCAGTCTACGCTCGTTATTTTGTAATAAGTTATGTTGTCGCCTAACATTTCAACTGACAATTTGCAGGCATTTAAGCAAATTTTGTTATCTTTCGATATGTTGTGCGTGTGTATGTGTGTGTGTGTGGGTCTGTCGTAGGGCAATTTAAATGTGCACCCATACATACATATGTATATTGTGATTTTCGTCTGAAATACTATTGTATTGGCTAATTGGCCCTGCCCTAGTTATACTGAAGGGTATGACATTAAGGTTTTACTAATGATATCAACGGAGGGCAAGTGCATTGCTTGCATTGTTACTTTTCTGATTTCGGATTTATCAAGAAACAATATTGACTTTAACATTGAATTCAAATGTAGAGTCTATTGTCCTTTAGTTGATTTGTACCGTAGATTCAATGCAATATCGAAGCAATTATAAGCGTTTGTATTGTAGAAACGAGAAAGGATAATGAGTTGCATATTAAAGACGACTCATTTGTACCCTCACTGGATTTCAGGCTGACTTCAGAGTTATTACAGACACCAGTTATGTGGGGGCCAAACCGGCAAAGCGTTAATTATTTCTTTGATAACAGAAGATACTTGTCTTGTCTTCGCATTTGCATCGCCTCGGAAAAGACAGAACTAACGGCGCGGTTGTTGAGGTCAAACAGTATACAAAAAAAAGTTTTCCAATAATTGGTATTCTTTTTTGAATAGCCTGCTATACCGGTAGATATCACTTTTCAAGCAATAATTTTTTGACATTTGATAAGTAAAAAGTACTTCAGTAATAAAAATGGGATGGTACCCGAATCAAAAACGCATTGAAATGAATAAAATATACTATAATAATGATGAAAAACTGACAGAGACCGTACGTATAACTAAAAAAGTTTTCCAGAAAAAGGTGGAGAAATAAAGCTGTTGGGATAAGTTAGTAAAGAATGAAACACGTGCGCATCGCTCATAAAAAACTAAGAATATGCTGCTGTAGCCCAAAGGTGTGGGTCTTAAGGCTAAAAAAGTTCAGTTAACATAAGGGTTCAAGCCAACCGATCATCAACAATGTCATGTTCTTGCTGGTTGGGCCTCTGAAATGCATGCAAATGATCCGGAATAATGAGACCCATTCCTACTTCGATCGCTACGTGAATTAACAAAACTGTCGCATCTGAAGCTCGGAAAACCAATTATTTATTTTTGAAAAGTCTATCCATCCTAGACGTGTAGCTGCTTGGTCTGGCTTAAGGTCCTGTGGGTTCATTTTTATGGCCGTAATTGGATGGTATTGGCCATGGGAAGAACAAAATGTTTATTTCATCGGAAAGGTAAGGGATTCGAGTTCGACCACGCCGTCTCTGCCTTTTCCTTACCATTTAGCAGTCTGTACAATATAAGCATTCTCCCTATAAATTCAATATGTTCTAAGCATCAGTTACCATATTACCTCTTCGGATACTGCAGGAGTAAGCTTCGGCCTTTAAACGCCCTTTAAGTCACCGCATCTTCGAGTTTTCCAGCACCTTTCTGGTCGGACAGGTTTTCAATCTCTCCATATTTAAACCTCTTTCTTTTTTGGCATTAAGTACGTCCGTCTCTAGCATTCGATGTATTTCCCATATGCAACATTAAGAGTTTGTAAGTCTTTCTAATCATCACGGTCCGCCGCTGCCGCTTGAGTTCCCCTTCACGAACATTGCTTGTTGTTATTTTTTGACAGATGTTATCTTTTGCCTCATTTCGGAATGTTTCAACGAGCAGGTGTGTCAAAGTCACCTTCTTTACCCATAATGGAGTTGAAAGTGTCAGGCAAAATTTTGATATAGTGGTGGAATGGTAATCATATCGTGTCGCTATTCCGACGGCGCGTGGGCGCAAATTAGCGAGATGTTGAAGAACTTCGCTTTGAGGTGGATTGCGGCAGGTGTTCGCCCCTGGGATGGCAATTGGGTTCCTCTACCAACATAAATCTGACACCAAATTTGTGCAGTGGCACTTTTCCAATTAGAGGAGTGGTAATTGCAGTTGGAGCACTGTTGTTTTCTATTCCATGAGAGCTACATGGCGGCGCATAATCTGGCTAGGAGAGTAGGTTTAAATTTTAAACATTTAGTAAGCGACCTATTTGTTTCAAGATAGTCGCCTACTTGTAACCGTACCCCTGGTGAACAGACGCGAAAATTAGAATTTGGCGAACCCTTGAAACGAATATGGCGTAGTGGCTACACTAATGCTACCTCTCTCTTAGCCATGACCCAAGACTCCCCTCGTGTGAAGTAGCGTATCTTGCACTCTTGTGCAAGCTCACGTTTCCCGCATGTATGACGTGGACGCAAGAGAACGTTTGCGTATCACGGTGCTTCTTCAGCTGTTTATTTAGAAGCATGACTATCTTACGCCGCTGTTACTCTGCTACTTCGAAATCTTTTAAAACAACAAAAACAAAAGTTAGCCGTTGTACTTTTGGTAAATGGGCTCTGTCAAAGTTGGTTGAATGTAGATCTAATATTAAATCGAAAAATTGTGTTCAGCGATGAAGCTCATTTCCGGTTGACTGGATAAAAGGACAAAGCAAATCGAAGTATTTGAAGAACTACCAATGCGTCCTGACTATGGTTGGAAAGTTGCGGTAAATGCCAAGCGCTACCGGTTTGTTTTATTAAATATGGAAGATTGGGACTTGGCTGATATGTGGTTTCAACAAGACCATGTTACATAGAGAGCGAAAGAATGGTTTAAATGAGAGAAGAGTTCAGTGAACAGTTTATAACAAGTTTGGCATTAACCAAATTTACGTCTAGATCGTCCGGTATAGCGCCCCTAGACTATAATTTTTTTGGGTTATGCTAAAACTGATGTCTTGACAAACTGGAAGCCAACCAAATTCAAAAATATTCATACACCTGAGTATGCGATCACAAAACAACCAAACTGCTTGACATCGAAAAACTTCTTGCTCAGTGCTCTGTTGCATATAAAAGGGAGTTTCTTTTGCGCTGCCATGCTCATTAGAGTACCAAAATTCCAAAATAATAATTTTTTCCTTTACTAAATTTATTCTCTTGGGCATTCGAATTGAATTCAATATTAAATTACAAGTTTAATTTGTTTGGCTGCCGGTGTTTTTGAGCACCAAACGCGCTGAAGTCGGTGGCAGAGGTCTTTGCTACAACAAGGACAATGCAAGAGAAGATACTTGTAAAACACATTGGCATTTCAATTACAAGAAACCAACAACAACTTGTGCACTCATGCATTTTTTACGCACCAACTTAAACTCAGGCACACACACACACACACACACACATGTATACGCACGTGTATACCAAGATAAACTTTTTGCCTCTGATAGCGGGTAAGTGTATCAAAGCGAAAAACAACACCAACAGCAACAACAACAATGTACAACGTCTTTTTACATTAAATATTTAAACAGTAAATGGAAAAGTCAATTAAAACTGTTTGCACTACGCTGAAATGTGAATGAGTGGGGGAAAGCCGGAAATTTGTTGTATGCATGTACAGGAGATCATTAGCAGCCTGAAAGGTGATAGTTGTGAACTAGAATGCTACTGGTGCTCATTTGTGAAGTAATTAGTTCATTATATGGTATTCTCCTATGTTACTGGCTGTGAAATGTGGGACGGTATTTCAAGCAAAAAAAAAGTCATTTGGAACGAGTATTGCTTTGCCGCAGTGGAGAAAAATCAGACTGCCTCCATCGCAACCTTTCTCTATGTGCGTACGAAAAGGGTCAAAACGCGTGAATACGAAGAGAAGCTGGCCGACTGTAGTAATATACGAAAGTTCTCAAAAGTGGCGGTGACTTACAAGTGGTCTCAAGACCGGAGCAAGCACTTGTGGAGCCTGTCCAAGCTATAAAAAGGAGAACCCCTCAGTTGGCGTCAATTACCGCGAAAGACTAAAGTCCACCGTTAGAAAAAAAGGTGGAACTTAAATAGTGTGGCTTTAGACCTGGCTCCCCATTAATTGTATATTCATCATGCGCCACATATTGGAAAATATCTGCGAATAGAGGATTTCTGCACATCACCTCTTCGTCGATTTTATAGCAGCCTTTGACAGGAACTTCCTCTACT